TTTTGCTAATTTTACTGTAAAAAACCTTAAGACGCCTATAACAATCGGTGCCATTTACCGGATACCCCACACAAACATCCCAAATTTCAGTGAGAAACTAAAGGCACTAATAACAAACAGACAAATGAATAAGCACCACCTTCTCTTAGCTGGAGACTTCAACATCAACCTTGGCCTACTAGATGATCAGCCTGTAACTGATTTCATCAACAATATGAACAACACACTTCTCATACCAACAATAACTAAACCAACCAGGCTCACTGAAACGAGTGCAACCATAATAGACCACATATGGACCAATATACTAGCCCCCTTAAATCAGGGATAATCACAGATAGCACTACAGACCACTACCCTACCTTCCTCTTGACAAACATTAGTAAACCACCACTTGAATACAACAAAGTTTCATTTAGACTCCATGATGAGGCCTCAATAAGGAAGTTCACAGCTGACCTAGAGACTGTTGACTGGCCTACAGAATTCTCCAAGGCCAATGGTATTGACGACTGGACAGACATTTTTCTTAACAAATTACTTAGACTATACAACAAACATTGTCCTATAAAAACGAAACAGATCACAAACAAACGGCTTGGTTGCCCATGGCTAACCAGCACCATTCTGAAATCCATTGATAAGAAACACCAATATGAAAAGCAATATAGACAGGGCTTAATACACAAAGATATTCTTAAACACTATTCATCAGTCCTCACCAAAGTAATAAAGAAAGCCAAACAACTATACTACTCCAGTAGATTCACTGACACAAGAGGAGATATAAAAAAGACCTGGAAAACACTCTCTCAGATTCTAGGGACCCACAAACTGAAAAAAAACAAGAATATTGCCCTAACTAAACCTAATGAAACACCACTGCATCCCACTGACACAGCTAACAAGATAAACGACTTCTTCTCAACCATAGGTTCTAATCTCGCCAATAAAATCCCACGCACCAATGCCCATGCCGGGGACTACCTAGATGGGAATTTCCCAAATTCCTTCTATCTTGCTCCAACTGAGCCCATGGAAGTCACCGAGATTATAAAGTCACTTAAAAATAACTCAGGGAATCTGTCTCATGTCCCACCATTATTGTACAAGAGAGCGGCCCATGTCCTCTCGCATGCTATCTCATTACTTTTTAACAAGTCACTAGAAACTAGCACCTTCCCGAAACTACTCAAGACGGCAAGGGTTACACCAATACATAAAGGTGGTGACCCTACAGATTTAAACAACTATAGGCCAATATCAAACTTACCATTGCTATCCAAAATCTTTGAGAAACTCGTGCACAGGAGACTATATTCATTTATAACGGCACAAAACATACTCAACCCCTGCCAATTTGGATTCAGGAAAAATAAAAGCACTAACGATGCAATCATAAAAATGCTAGATCTGCTTTACACAGCATTGGAAAATAAGGAATATCCACTAGGAATTTTTATTGACCTAAGAAAAGCTTTTGACACAGTAGACCACGGCATCCTACTCCACAAACTTGACCATTATGGTATAAGAGGCCATGCGCTTGCATATTTCAAATCTTACCTTACTAATAGGTATCAGTATGTCACCATTAAAGACACAGCATCAACAACACAGCCACTTGATACTGGAGTTCCGCAGGGAAGTGTCCTTGGTCCCCTGCTCTTCCTCATATACATCAATGATCTTCCAAACGTATCTCAACACCTGAACCCCATTCTCTTTGCTGACGACACGACTTATGTCATCTCTCACCCTAATCTTGCCACCCTCAACACCATTGTTAATGAGGAGCTGATCAAAATATCGACTTGGATGACAGCCAATAAACTTACGCTTAACACTGACAAAACCTACTAAATTATGTTTGGTAGTAGAGCAGGAGATGCACAAATTAACTTTAAGATCGACAACACTCTAATTGCCATGCCATAATGAGGGCAAATTCCTAGGGCTATACCCGACAACAAACTGAACTTCATCACCCATATCCAACACACAACCAAAAAAAGTATCCAAAACGGTTGGAATCCTCTCCAAGATTACGATACTACGTGCCGCCAACTGCCATTCTCACACTATACATTCACTTATATATCCATACCTCACCTATGCTATCTGTGCTTGGGGTTTCAACTGCAGCAACACACCTTAAGCCAATAATACCCAACAAAAAAGCCGCAGTAAGTTAATCACTAATCCATCCTGGCAACACCACCCCCCCCCACTCTTCATAGATCTAAAACAACTTACTCCTGTTCGTACATTCAACACTTAACTACTGTGCAATCTAACATCTACAGGAACCCTTAAAATTCCAATATTAACCTTGAACTAAAATGTTTTCTTGATACCCTGATAGTTGTGACAGAACCCACACAAGGCACAACACCAAGACCACCAAACATCTTACGACATTCCCCGTGTCCGACTAAAACCTTTACAAAATTCAATGTACGTCAAACAGGCCCTTAAAATCTGGAAACACCCTACCCGAAAATCTAAAACTGCAGGACACGTCATCACTTCAAAACTACCATCAGAAAAAATCTTATCTCCCTGATACACCCTGTCAACTAATTTACCACGAATACCACCTGGTGGTTAACACTTACCTCACTCACCCATTTGGACCATAAACAGAAAATATCAATCTCAATTATTTTCTCAAATAATGATCTTAACTAGTCATAAGTTGGCCTGTGATACTCATACTGAGACCTTATTTTTTGTTTTTATAGTGCCAAAACAAAAGCATTCACACCTGCTAAACTCACAAACTAGCATTTAGTCACTTAGCCATAATACCAACTTACCTCATAATTTTGTAATATTTTAAACTTAAGATTTAATTTAACTCTGCCCGAAATGCCTAGCCATGCTAGGTGTTCTAGTGGTACACTCTGTAATTATTATTTTACTACATGTAAACCACACAATAACCAAATTCTGTAAACTCAGCATTGTAATCCTTATAGAGAATAAACTTTGAATTTGAATTTGAATTTACTCACCTATTTGTGGTTGCAGGGGTCGAGTCTTAGCTCCTGGCCCCGCCTCTTCACCGGTTGCTACTGGGCCCTCTCTCTCCCCGCTCCATGAGCTTTATCAAACCTCGTCTTAAAACTGTGTATGGTTCCTGCCTCCACTACGTCATTTTCTAGGCTATTCCACTGCGTGCGTGTGTGTGTGTGTGTGTGTGTTAGTTACCATTTTGTCCTAGGCACATGTCTTTTAGACACTAGGCCTCTTGTATTTGCAAGTTTGTGTGTGTGTGTGTGTGTACTCACCTAGTTGAGGTTGCGGGGGTCGAGTCCGAGCTCCGAGCTACTAGGTCCTCCCTCTCTCTACTTCCTGAGCTGTATCATACCTCTTCTTAAAACTATGTATGGTTCCTGCCTCCACTACTTCACTTGCTAGGGCTAATTCCACTTCCTGACATCCTCGATGACTGAAGAAATATTCCTTAAACGTCCGCTGTGACTTGTCTGAGTCTTCAGCTTCCAGTTGTGACCCCTTTTCCCTGTGTCCCCTCTCTGGAACATCCTATCTCTGTCCATCTTGTCTATTCCCCGCAGTATCTTGTATGCCGTTATCATGTCTCCCCTCTGACCCTTCTGTCCTCAGTGTCGTCAGTCCGATTTCCACTAACCTTTCCTCGTACGACATTCCCCTTGAGCTCTGGGACTAGGCCTTGTTGCAAACCTTTTTACTTTCTCTAAACTTCTTGATGTGCTTGGAACCAGGGTGGGTGCCAGTTGGTTGCTGCATACTCCTGATGGGCCTAACATACACAGTGTACGTGTTCTTGAACGATTCCTTATTAAGGTATCGGAACGCTATTCTCAGGTTTGCCAGGCGCCCGTATGCTGCAGCAGTTATTTGGTTGATGTGTGCTTCCGGTGATGTGTTCGGTGTTATGGTCACCCCAAGGTCTTTCTCCCTGAGTGAGGTCTGTAGTCTTTGTCCACCTAGCCTACACTCTGTCTGCGGTCTTCTTTGCCCCTCCCAAATATATGTATGTATGTATGTGTGTGTGTGTGGGGGGGGGGGCCTTGTAAATGTGCTGAGTTAGGGTGTGGATACTGTCAAAATGACAAATTATACCATCACTCACTACCCTTACTGCCTGTCAACACCCATGGGGTCCTATGCCTTCTTCCCCACTGTCCTTCCTTCCTACCTACCTTCCTTCCTTCTTCTTACTACCTGTCAACACCCATGGGGTCCCATGCCTTTTTCCCCACTGTCCTTCCTTCCTACCTACCTTCCTTCCTTCTTCTTACTACCTGTCAACACCCATGGGGTCCCATGCCTTCTTCCCCACTGTCCTTCCTTCCTACCTACCTTCCTTCCTTCCCTCTTACTGCCTGTCAACACCAATGGGGTCACATGACTTCTTCCCCACTGTCCTTCCTTCCTTCCTTTCATCTTGTCCTTCCTTCCATTCTTCCTACCTTCCTTCCTTACTTCATCTTACCTTCCTCTCATCTCTTCCTTCCTTTCTTACTTCCTTCCTTCCTTCTGGTATCCTGGACATTGCTTTCGGTCATAAACTCCTCAAAACCATGAAATTCAGCTTCAGAGGCATTTCCATCTATGTTAGAGCTATCACTAGGGAAGAGAAGAGTCCCAGATTCGCCGGAGTGTCAGATATTTCTTACCGCTAGGCATGCTGAACAAGGACTACTGAAATGGCGTTCCTACAATGCACCACTGGCTCCCCGATTTTTTTTTAATACTGTGAACACTGACCATGGAGACCCATTCTCTCACATGTGGGCCTACCAGCTTTCTCCTGCTTGATCTGAAGCTGCTAGAATTTTGGCGTATTAATACATCGAAAACAGTCAAAAGGATTAATGAATATTTCATATGTGGAGCAATTTTAAAATAAAGAACTAAATTGAAATGTACTGAAATGAATCATTCATTACCTGTCATTTTATAAATGTGCAGACATAAAAATTTAAATGACCTTGTGAAGCATATCATACCTGATATTCATTGCCCAGAGAGTACAAGAACCTGTCATAGAGTGACCTCTGCTCTAAAGGTGTTGACTGGCTGCAGAGAGATGCACAACTCTTGTAGTATCCCCTAAGCTTGCTCTCATTCATTTGGCAATATTCTGCGTGGGATCCCAATTCAGGCAACAGTTTGCAAGCTTCAGAAAAGTGTGAATTATGCATCTTCATATTCTCTCCTGGGAGGAAGTGATAGCTCCAAGGTCATATGGATCTGAAAAATATGTTAGTTAACAATCTGCAGTTGTTAACCATGTGTAAGCACTACATAAATAAATAAATATATAGAGGTAGATCTAGATAGTAGGTTGGTAGACAGCAACTGCCCTGGGAGGTACTACCGTCCTGCCAAGTGAGTGTAAAATGAAAGCCTGTAATTGTGGTTACATCCCCCCCCCCCCCCCCCCCAGATGGTAGGATTGCTGGTGTCCTTTTTTCTGTCTCAAAACATGCAAGATTTCAGGTACGTCTTGCTACTTCTACTTACACTTAGGTCACACTACACATACATGTACAAGCATATGTATATACACACCCTTTTGGGTTTTCTGCTATTTTCTTTATAGTTCTCGTTCTTGTTTATTTCCTCTTATTTCCATGGGGAAGTGGAACAGAATTCTTCCTCCGTAAGCCATGCGTGTTGTAAGAGGCGACTAAAATGCTGGGAGCAAGGGGCTAGTAACCCCTTCTCCTGTATAAATTACTAAATTTGAAAAGAGAAACTTTTGTTTTTCTTTTTGGGCCACCCTGCCTCGGTGGGATACGGCCAGTTTGTTGAAAGAAGAATATAGAGGTAGTGGGTTGGTAACCAGTAACCACTCAGAAAGTAATTCCAACCTGCCAAACAAGTATGAAATGGAAACCTGTAATTGTTTTATATGATGGTAGGATTGCTGGTGTCTTTTCTTTTTCTCATAAACAAACAAGATAACAGGTACATCTAACTACTTCTATTTATATTTAGGTCACACTACATGTTTATGAAAATGTTTGTGTGTACACACCCATCTACTACAGTAGACCGTTGATTAACATGGGTTCCTTTTGAACGTTTTCTCCATTACACTACTGCCAAATTGTAGCATATGGTACAGGGTACCATATGGTACACGATACCATATGGTACAGGGTACCATATGCCACAGGGTACCATATGGCCAGGGTACCGTATGCCACAGGGTACCTTATGGCACAGTGGTACCATTATGGAAACGGGTACCATATGGACAGGGTACCATATGGCACAGGGTACCATATGGTACAGGGTACCATATGGTACAGGGTACCATATGGTACAGGGTACATAAGTACAGGACTCCATAGTACAGATACAGGGATACTGTGGAAATAAGTCACCTGACTTTTTTTTTTTTTCTTTCTTGGGTTATCCTAGGATTTTTATACGTATGCTGCTATGTATGATATTTATGTAATTGTATTCTGTACACTGAATAAACATACTCAAGTGCATGTGGATTTAAGTAAGTTTATTTGTTATACACAAATAAATTACATAGAAGATCATACTTAGCAGCATATGTTTGGAGTAGAACCCTGGATACCCAAAAAAGTCGTCAGAAATTAATTATTTATTAGGGTCCCTGTACAATATGGTATAATGTCATATGGTACAATGTATTTTATGTACATGTACCATATGGTACCATTGTACCATATACCATTGTACCATATGATACCATTGGTGTACATATGATAACACTATGTACAGAGGCACCATTGTCCATATGGTACTCCACTGTTACCATATGGCTCAATGGTACATACCACTGGTTCAAAAACCATAGAATTCGTCTTCCAAGCTCCACTTTCCTCCAGTCTGTAGGAACTGTAAGTTGTGAGAGGGAGAGTCAGAATTCGCCCCGCCCCGAGAGTGAGTTGGGAGTGAGAGCTTCCTTGCGCCGGCACTATGAACAAAGTACTTTGCCGGCGTTTCCCACAATGCCATGCGGGCGTCCCGATTTTTTCTATGGTGTGCACACTGACCACCCAGACCCATTCTCTTAGATGTAGGCCTACCAGCCTTCTCATGCTAAATTTGACGGCGCTAGAATTTTGGCACAGATCTACGGTTTGGACCCTGAACGTAAAGCCGTAGATCTACGGGACGGACCCTGAAAGGGTTAAGTATAAGACAATTTTTAGAAGAAATGACGCTCTGAGTGAAGGCTAATGGAAATAAGTCACTCTGTCTGACTTCTTGGGGTTATCCTAGGTTCTCTACACATATGCTGTTCTTTTTCTTTCAACACACTGGCCGTATGCCACTGAGGCAGGGAGGCCCAAAAGGAAAAACGAAAGTTCCTCCTTTCAAATTTAGTAATAAATACAGAAGAAGGGGTTACTAACCCCTTGCTCCCGGCATTTTAGTCGCCTCTTATGATACGCATGGCTTACGGAGGAAGAATTCAGTTCCACTTCCCCATGGAGATAAGAGGAAATAAACAAGAACAAGAACTAGAAAGACAATAGAAGAAAACCCAGAGGGGTATGTATATATATGCATGTACATGTATGTGTAGTGTGACCTAAGTGTAAGAAGAAGTAGCAAGATGTACCTGAAATCTTGCATGTGTATGAGAGAAGAAAGACACCAGCAATCCTACCATCATGTAAAACAATTACAGGCTTTCGTTTTACACTCACTTGGCAGGACGGTAGTACTCCCCTGGGCGGATGCTGTTTACCAACCTACTTCCTAAAACTCAGTAAACTTATTCCTCTATAATTTTTACAATCTCTTTTGTCCTGCTTCCCCTTATATAAAGGGACCATACATGCTCTCTGCCAATCCCTAGGTACCTTCCCCTCTTTCATACATTTATTAAACAAAAATACCAACCCCTCCAACACTATATTACCCCCCCCCCCCCCCCCCCCCCGCTTTTAACATTTCTGTCATGATCCCGTCAGTTCCAGCTGCTTTACCCCATTTCATTCTACGTAATGCCACATACACCTCCCCCACACTCACATCCTGCTCTTCTTCACTCCTAAAAGATGGTATACCTCCCTGGCCAGTGCATGAAATCACCGCCTCCCTTACTTTGTCGACATTTAAAAGTTCCTCAAAATATTCTGGCCATCTACCCAATACCTCCATCTCCCCATCTACTAACTCCCCTACTCTGTTTTTAACTGACAAATCCAATCCTTCCCTAGGCTTTCTTAACTTGTTTAACTCACTCCAATTTTTTTTCTTATTTTCATTAAAATTTCTTGACAGTGCCTCTCCCATACATTCATATACACATTTGCCACATGCTTTTGATGCAATGTGTAGTAAAGATTATTATTATGCAGAGTTAAGTGTTGGTGGTGTGATTAAGCTAAGTACAGTTGCTATGATCCTGGAATGCAACAACATACAGTGAAAGACACCTGCTTCAGAAATTAGATTGTAGTAATTTTTCACTTCAGATGGAAAAAATAGCAAAATGTTACAATATTGTCTTGTGGTCGTTGCCGATACAACTTCTTTCATTAAATATTAAATCAAATATACAATTTTAAAAGATGTAATCATTTACTAAGTAGATGATATCACATGAACAACATACATGCTGGATTTATCTCATTAAAAAAAAAAAAGAAATCATCATCCTAAAATCAATGTAAAATGCAGTCAATTTCAACAGGTTCTAAATGATCTTTTTAAGTATGAAAAATTAAAGTAAAAAGAGACACTATTCATATTGTTAAATAGCTAAATTTTGACATCTCAAAGCACTCTAAGTTATTTCTTATCATAGTCTGAAAAGCTAAGCGTCAGCGAGAATACGAATCCATTGCAGATGTATAACTAGTTTTTAAAAATACTGAGAGAAATTTCTTTCTCATGTTCAGACATAACCTGTACCTAACAGTTCTGTGCAGCTCTAAACATATTAAGCAAAACAATTAACACCATTAAAACCAACCTGACATTTAAACTGTTCGTCAGCTACAGACTTGCAGCGTTCCCAGGAGTGAGTTATGGTGGTAGTATGGTGGGTGTGCACTGTGAAGGTAGATAACACCGGTGCACGAACCTATTGGTAAGTGAGAGAGTAAAACTGAGACTTAACAGATTAATCAGTTATAAGGCTGAACAAATAATGAAACAGCAACAATGTATAAATGAGCAATTCAAACGTATGTTATATGGTCACAAAAATTGTTCAGACTATATAGCACTATTTCTCAGTCAATGTGACAGACAACAACCAACCATTTAGTTAAGTTTATCTATCTTATGTCCCAGTAGATACTGTGACCTACAGTTTGAGAAACATTGCTACCTGGGTTAACACAAGCACTATATACAAGTCAGGAGCTAAAAAGAAGTTAGAATAATACATAATGCTAGATTTTGTTAATGTAAAGGTATGTTATGATATCTTACCAGCTGATATAGCACAGGGTATACTGATTAGGCAAAATTAAAATATCTAAGTAATCAAAGTAAAAACAAAAAAAAACATGTGGCTGGGATCTAATGATACTCTAGGTTCACAAACATCTTTCATCCTAAAGATAGAGGTGACAGATAAACTCATCAGAAAATGGATGTATTACATCAAGGATGTTATTCACTATTATGTTGTAACTTAACCCTTTGACTGTTTCGGTTGTATATATACGTCTTACGAGCCAATGTGTTTGACGCATTAATACGCCAAAATTCTAGCGGCTTCAAATCAAGCAGGAGAAAGCTGGTAGGCCCATTTGTGAGAGAATGGGTCTCCATAGTCAGTGTGTGCACTATAAAAAAAAACTGGGGAGCCAGTGGTGCATTGTGGGAATGCCACTTCAGTAGTCCTTGTTCAGCATGCCTAATGGTAAGATGGAAGTGTCAGTGAAGATGAATTTCATGTTTTTGAGGAGTTTGTGACCGAAAGCACTGCCCAGGATACCAAAAGAAAGAAAGAGAAAGAAGGAAAGATAAAAAAAAGAAAAAGAGAAAGAAAAAGAAAGAAAGAGGAAGAAAGAGAAAGAAAGAAAGAGAAAGAAGGAAAGAGAGAGAAAGAAAAAAAAGAGAAAGAAAAAGAGAAAGAGAAAAAGAAAGAGAAAAAAGAGAAAGAAAGAGAAAGAAAAAGAAAGAGGATGAACAAAAAAGGAGAGAAAGAAAGAAAGAAAAATAAAGAAGAAAGAATGGTGGGTAGTTACAAAGGAGGTGGGCGGGAAGGCATGAGACCCCATGCGTGTTGACAGGCAGTAATATGTCATTTTGATAGCTGCCAGACCCTGACTCAGCACATTTAACCCTATGACTGTTTTGGTCACATATATACGTCTTACGAGGTACCGTGTTTGATGTATATATACTCATAAATTCTAGTGGCTTCAAATCAAGCAGGAGAAAGCTGGTAGGCCCACATGTGAGAGAATGGGTCTGTGTGGTCAGTGTGCACCATATAAAAAAAATCCTGGAGCACGCAGTGCATAATGACGAAAAAAAACTGACCCTTTCTTTTAATTAAATGCAGAATTTGTGGTCTATTTTTGTATAGTATTTATGGTTGTATTCTCGTTTTCTTGGTGTCATTTGATAGAATGGAAAACATATTGAAATAGAGGTGATTTTCACTGGTTTTACTATAAAAAAAAACCTGGAAATGGAGCTCAAAGTAGGGGAAATGTTTGATTTTTGCCAATGTTCAAAAGTAAACAAATGATGTCATTTTCCAATAAATGTCCAACTAGCCATTCTAATATGCAGTCATGAATGGGTTGATGTTATTTGTACAATTATTACAATATTGCAGTACTTTGCATAACAGTAAATCTTCTATTTTTTGTTTGAATAAAAATTCAAAATAGAAAGCAAGAGTAATATCAGAGGGGCCTGGAGACATGACTGATGAACAGAGAAAATGTTATTTAAGAGCCAGGAATGTCTGCATTGTTCATTCTGGACCTTATTTTGAAATTGTCATTTTTTTTAATTTTCGTGAAATTGGCCAAATTGCAAATTTCTGACCACATTATTGGGTAGTTGAAATCGGTAAATGGGCAGTTTCTTGTACTCAATCGATAGAAAAAACAGAGTTCTAAAGAAATAGCTATGAGTTTGGTCGACTGGAACAATGGAATTAGCCGAAAATAGGGCTCAAAGTGGGCGAAATCGCCGATTTGTAAATATCGCCAAGGTCGCTAACTTCGCGAGAGCATAATTCCGTCAGTTTTCCATCAAATTTCGTTTTTTTTTTTTTTGGTGTCATTACAATCGGGAAAAGATTCTCTATCATTTCGTAATTTTTTTTTTTTTTAAATTTTGCGACACCAGAAGACGCCTCAGGACTGGGGGATGTGACTGTCAAGGGGTTAAGAGTTCACACACACCCACCCAAACAAACACACACACACACACACACACACACACACACACACACACACACACACACACACACACACACACACAACACACACACACACACACACACAAACACACACACACACACACACACACACACACACACACACACACACACACACACACAACACAAGCTTCCAGAAGATAATAGCAGTTCTTTATAAGTGTTCAGTGACTATATATGTGTATATACATTACAGACACCAGAAGGAAGGGATGAAAGAATGAAGAAAGAAAGAATGAAGAAAGAGTGAAGAAAAGAAATAATGAAGAAAAATTGAAGAAGAAAGAATGAAGAAGAATGGAGAAAGAAAGAAAGAATGAAGAAAGAAAGATAGGTAGGTAGATAGAAATGATGACACATGACCATTTACCTAGGAGAACTACCTAACACAACTGCCTGCTAATACTGTGAAGAAAAGTGCTCAGAAGAGGTGTTTTATCTGCGCACATACAAAAAAAAAAAAAAAAAAAAAAAACGCCCACAAAAATGCACACACACTCGTTTAATGTGTGAAGAGTGTAAAACACCATTGTGCATACATCCATGTTTCAAAGACTTTCACAAGCTGCAGCAGTTCTAGGAAAGTGTCCAGTGATTGTACATTTGTATATACAGTATATTACAGAACAATAGCAATAAACAAATTTTTATATTTTTCATTTGTGTAAACAAGTTTTGTAAACAATATAATGATACTAATATTTGTGTGATTATTGTGTTACATACAACGAGTGTATATATGTACACCTACAATCCGACTTACAGCCTGCTCGACATACGACCATTCGACTTACGATCTTGTTTTCTATGCCAAATTTCTGGGAAATAAACAACTGTTTGTGTTGTACACAGTGTTTATCATAAACCTTACAGTATAAAATACAGTGCTAACAGCATAAAAAGTAAAGTAAAAAATGAAATACCAAAATAAAACAATAAAATAAAGCATTACAAAAATGTGATGCTGATATTCAGAAGTAAGGTTCGACTTACGTCCATTTCGACTTACGACCAGTTTCTCGGAACCGAACTCGGTCGTAAGTCGGATGGTACCTGTACATTGCACCTTACTTTGGTCTCACAAGCCACATAAGTTATGTGAAAAATTAAAATACAGTGGACCCCCACCCAATGGTGACATCAAGTAACGGCAAATTCGTCTAACGGCGCTCTTTGGTGTCAAAAAATTGGTTCTACCAACGACGAAAAACTCATCTAATGGCATGCAGCCTGAGCGGGCCCAGCCACTCCAAGACCCCGTGTATAGCCAGTGTGCCAATGTTTACACGCCATTGTGGTCGATTCCAAGTGTACCTGCAATATATTTTGTATTATTCCAGTGTTTTCAGTGCTTGTAACTGCTAAATAAACCACCATGGGACCCAAGAAAGCTTCTAGTGCTAAAAAAGGTGAGAAATACTCTCGAAATACTTTCGTACCACAGTCAGCTGCTGCTGCACTACCGTCAGCTGTTGCTGCAACACCATCAGCTGCTGCTGTTACTGTACTAACGTAAGCTGTTGCTGCACCACCGTCAGCTGCTGCTGCACTACCATCAGCTGTTGCTGCAACACCATCAGCTGCTGCTGCTGTACTACCATAAGCTGTTGCTGCACCACCGTCAGCTGCTGCTGCACCATGGTCAGCTGTACTACTCGAAGATGTGGAGAGACTATTGTAGGTGTGGCTTATCAAGAATACCAAGAAACAATTAACCCCAGAGGAGTAGCCACCCAGGATAACCCAAGAAAGTCAGTGCATCATCGAGGACTGTCTAACTTATTTCCTTTGGGGTCCTTAATCTTGTCCCCCAGGATGTGACCCACACCAGTCAACTAACACCCAGGTGAACAGGAAAAAACGCCTGGAACTAGTGCTCATATTGGTAAATTTAACCCTTTCAGGGTTTCGGCTGTACTAGTACGGCTTACGCATCAGGGTTTTTGACATACTAATACATCTAAATTCTAGCGCCCTCAAATCTAGTGAGAGAAAGCTGGTAGAACTGCACATGAAAGAATGGGTTTATGTGGTCAGTGTGCGTGGTATAAAAAAAAATCCTGCAGCACACAGTGCGTAATGAGAAAAAAACTTTGGCCATGTTTTTTGGATTAAAACAGCGACTTTGCATTGTATTTTCGTATGGTATTTATTGTTTATTCTATACACAAATAACCCACACATAGAAGAGAGGAGCTTACGACGACGTTTCGGTCCAACTTGGACCATTTACAAAGTCACACTAATCAGAAGTGGAGCAGGACGGCTATATAGAAGAGGAGGAGGAAGAAGAGGAAGAGGAAGAGGCGGCGGCAGCCGGGGGGGGGGAGGTTGGGTGGTGGGGGGGGGGGGAGGTGGGGGTGGTGGTGGTGGTGGTGGGTGGTTGGTGGGGTTGGTGGTGGTTGGTGGTGGTTGGTGGTGGTGGTGGTGGTGGTGGTGGTGGTGGGTGGTTGGTGGTGGTGGTGGTGGTGGGTGGTTGGTGGTGGTGGTGGTGGTGGTGGTGGTGGTTGGTGGTGGTGGGTGGGTGGGTGGTGGTGGGTGGTGGTGGTGGGTGGGTGGTGGTGGGTGGGTGGTGGTGGGTGGGTGGTGGTGGGTGGTGGTGGTGGTGGTGGTGGTGGTGGTGGTGGTGGTGGTGGTGTGGTGGTGGGTGGTGGTGGTGGTGGTGGTGGGTG